GATTCAAGTTAGCAAATGGCTAATCAATAAATCCCTCCAATAACGTTAAAAATAGAAGTGTTACTTAATTAACGTTATTGTTTGCAACATATCTTCATTTTTTTTAAAAGAACAAATTTGTTAAGGAGAGTTTAAGCTAGCAAATGACTAGTCATTAAACTCCTAGGACCTAATAATGTTAAAGATAAAAATGTTATTCACTTAACATTATTATTGGTCGTATATTAAATATTTTTATAAATAATAATCTTAAAGGCAAAAAATCATATTCACTATGTACAAACAATAAACAAAAATAAATAAATAAATAAACAAAAAACAAAATGAAAAAATAAAATAAACAAATAAATAAAAGAAAGAAGAAAAACAAAGTTAAGAAAAGAACGATACCAAATGAGATGAATCTTCGAATATGATGATCAAGAATGTGCTTTTTGGCTACCTTTCACACTACAGAGGTGTCTCACAGATCTCAAGAAATACAAAAGAGAGGGAGGAGAGAGAAAAAAAAATTCGAGCTCTAAAGAGTACTGGACGAAATTTTTCTGACTTGAAAACTGTGCCCCAAACGTCTATTTATAGACGTCAGACCTGACTCAGAACGGCCCGTTCCAAAATCGGAACGGCCCGTTCTGAAAATGGACGTTATGTGTTAAATGTGAATCTGGAACGGCCCGTTCTAAATTCAAAACGGCCCGTTCTAAACGCGCAACGGCCTTTCTGAATTTCGGAACGGCCCGTTCTAGATAAGGAATTTATGTCCTTGTTAGTCACTTAGAACGGCCCGTTCCAATTTGGAACGACCCGTTCCAAAAAAATAACTGCCCGTTCTAAGATCAAAACGCCCTGCTCTGGGTTAGGGTTGTAGGCCTTTCTGCTAACTTGGAACGACCCGTTCTCAATTAGGTTTGTGGTGTCTTTTTGTAACTTGGATCCAATTTTTTTTTTTTAACTCTCTGGTTGTTATAGGGTGTTGCCTCCATACTTTGGAAATTCCTTCTCTTCATGGTAGATGTGCATTTCATTGTTTTGTGAATCCGGATAAAATTGATTATTCACAGTTGCCCCTCTTTACTTATTTCTTATTAAATAATCTAAATAAGGTAATTTAGATCATTTGTGATAAGAAATAAATAAAGATGTGAATTAATTTTATCCAACTACCCAAGACATAGCTCCTATTGTTGATGGAGTAAGTTCATGAAAGATTCAATGCTTTTGCTTGAACAGTCCAATGCTAGAATATTGTGTTGGGATCATCAAGTGCTAGTGCTGGATCAATCGAATGTTAATGTTGAATGTTTGTGCTAGAGGGGTTGAATGCTTGTGCTTGATCAACCGAATGCCAATGTTGAAGTGGTTGAATGCTTGTGCTTGATCAACCGAATATTTGTGCTTGATGGAATGGTCGAATGCTTGTGCTGGATCGACTGAATGCTTATGCTGAAATAGTTGAATGCTTGTGCTTGATGAACTGAATATTTGTGTTTGATGGAGTGATTGAATGCTTGTGCTGGATCGACTGAATGTTGGTGTGAATTCAATCAAATGTTGGTGCTGGATTGATTGAATGTTGATGGACTGAATGCTAATGTTGGAGTGGTCAAATGCTTGTGCTGTATCGACCGATTGTTGGTGCCAATTCAATCAAATGTCGGTGCTGGGTTGATTGAATGTTGATATTGGATCGACTAGATGCTTGTGCTGAATTAGTCAATGGGTCGCGCCAGGTAAATACTGGGCTTATAAAAAGAAATTGTAACTTGTGTCAGGTAAGTACTGGACTTTAATAGAAAGTCATATATGAAGTAAGTGCTTAGCCTAAAAACTCTACGTCATAAGTTCTAGGAAGCAAGAGATGCAAATGAAATGTGATGTGATGCAAAAAGCATGTTATGAGACACATCTTTCAAGACTTAAACTTTTGTTTATTTTCGTTTTTGTTTTTGCTTTTGCTTTATTTTTCAGAAATTCCTCATCGTGACACACAGTCAAGGATCATGGATGAGTGAGGTCTTTGGATACTTTCGTCTTGAATGATAGTTGGCTACTTCCTGTGGGTTACCCTTAAGCTGTTGTAAACACTTATGAGTTGAAACAACATTATCCTGTTGGTTGCGCTTTGTAACATTTATCAAGAAATTATCAAGCATACTGTGGCTTTTAAAACTCATAAAAATAATTTGTAATGCCTTGAATTTTCCTTTTTTAGATGTAACATGCATTTCCTTTCAGTATATTATCATAAAATGCAAAAAGAATTGGCAACAAAGAGGTAGGATAATCTTATTTAAGAGAGTAAGAATGTGTTTACAAAAGAAGTCATTGTATGACAAGAATGAAAAATATGAACAATGGTAGCAATAGGAGGTAACTGTTATGTGAGTGACACTTTCCAGATGAATAATGCTAGTACTGCAATTCAATAATCTTGATTGCTCGCCAATAAACTTTAGAGAATGATTCAATGCATTTGCCCCAGTTTTCAACTCTACCATGGCTTGCCCCAATTGATACCTCAAAAATTGGCATGATACTTATCTGCTAGATTGCTTTTTTGGGTTTTCAACCTAGCATGTCGCTCTAAATTTGCTTAGATCGCCTTTTCAAGTTTTCCATCTAACCAACTCTTCTTCTTTTTTTTTTTTTACCTAGAATTGAATTATTTAACTTAATCCAAGTGGGTCTTTGTTGAGACATTCTTCACTCTGCAGTTCGAAAAGTCAAAATGGGCTTGGACCCTCCTACTGGCTGTAGCATGTCATCATTAATCACGCACCACCATGTGCCTATGCCACTTGTGTTGTGGGGATGCTCTTGATCCAATCTTTTATGTTGGTTTGAATTATTAAATAAGTATATAAAAACTTAATTAAAGTAAATTAATTCTCCATTCTTCTCACTGGTCAAGTATCTCATAATCTACGTGCGCTTTACTTTCGGACCCGTTAGCGATTTTTTTTTCCTTTTTACTCGGAGATAAGTCAACAAAATAAGTATAGGCCATCGTCCTTTTGCGCCCTGCAAACGGTGTCGTATCAATCATCGTTTTAATGATACGTCGTCGTTTATTCCACTTTTTTCTAGACACAGCCAATTTCTTAATTATATTATTTATTGAAAAACGTTCCTATATAGAGTTTTACTTTCAATAAATTCACGTTATTTTTTAATATGTTAAATAATAATTTGCTAAATATTTACAGTGACAAGGCTATAAAAAGGAAAGTAGAAAAGTTAATCAAATATATTTTTTTCGCAGAATAATCTTGCGTTGAAGATTAATTTGATTTTGGAATTTCTAAATATAAAATTTGATACTTACAAAATCGGGGATTAAACTAACACAAGCAATTCCAACAATAATATATTTTTATACGATTGAGTAAAATTTTATAAATTTTTCATCAAGCACGTCAAGATTATTTAACAATAATAAACGAAATATTGTAATGAATGCTATATATGTGTAGAATAATTTATTAACCTCGTGATATTTTTTAATAATATAAACGGTCATAATTTGCTGTTATTGAGATCATTAATGCAGTGCAGAACAAACCCACAAAAGTAAGAGAGAAGCCGCAGAGTGGGTCTACTCTTCTGTTAAAAAAAATAGAGAAATAAAAATAAATTTTAAGGCCCATTTGGC